GGAGCCCGGGCCCGGACCCGGCCCTACCGGGCCGGGTTCCGGGCTGGCCCAAATTTTTTTTAATTTTTTTATCAATTTTTTTAAATTTTATTTAAATTTTAAATTATACAAAAAAGACAAGAAAAATAATAAAAACAATAATTTTATTAATCACTTAAAAATGACATAAATTACACAACGAAAAAATTAGATAAAAATAGAATTCCTCTTATTAATGAATATAAATACTTCATCTTTACACAATTACAAGTATAAATTTATTGTTGGAACTTCACTCCGCCACTACACGAATAGACTAAGTACAATTCCACCTAGACTCTTTGTTTTAAATTTCTTTCCTTTTTTTTTTCAATCAAAAACTGCTAAAAACACATAAATTACAAATAAAAAATTATAAATAAAAATTCTCTATTAAATAATTAAATATCATTTACAAATTACAAGTATCCAAATTCTTATTTTGGAGATTCATCGCATCACAATGATAAGTCCAGTACATTCCACCCTAAGGATCCTCTTTTTAAATTTCTTTTCTTTTTTTTTGATAAAAAAATGCTACAAACAATTTAGTCTTAATATTATTATATTCTTATATAATCTATGTATTGAGTAATACTGCTAATTATTATGTAACTACTAACTATTATACTCGCCTTATACTACTAACACTATAGTTGATAGATGCTACAATATAGGTTGGTATATATTTGATCAAAACAGTTATACATCTTAAGAGAGAGAGAGAGACATCACAATAAGTACCCACCCTGTAGGCCGTCTGGATCGTTGGCCCAAATGGAGTAACCGTTAATGATACCATAAACTTATTAACTGAAGAGAGAGAGAGTATACACAGCACACACATGATATGAAATCAAAGTATATTATATAATGTGGAGGTGATAGCCATAATATAGACCAGGAGAGAGTAGTCACCCTTATACTATACATATATATCCTAAGGAGAGAGAGAGAGAGAGTATAACTTAGTATCACTATATAGTACTCTATACACATATATGCGATTGATATAATACTCAAAAGAGAGTGTATTAGCTTAATATAGTGAGAACTTATATAAGAGAGAGTATAACATATAATAAGAGAGAGTATCATTATATAGTACATATGATCACTCCATCTGAAGAAGAGAGAAGTATATATAACGCATTACTTATTTAGAGAAGTATCTTTTATAACTTATAACTATAAGGGTACTTATTATCCGTATGCCGTACGCTTAATTATATACATAGAGGAGTACTTATCTATTAAACCATACATACTGAACATAATTATACGATATATAAATGATATTTTATCAGAGTATGCATTAAAGCATAGAGAAGTATACTTATATAACATATACTAGCTCAAGAGAGAGTTTATATAGCATACGACATGCTAGCACTTGATACATATACTACAGTAGAGGTTGAGAGGTATTTCTTTATTACTTATATAGCAGGAAATTGTATACCTTATATAGTACTTAATACATATATACTAGCTTACATAAGAAGAGAGTATACTCTATGAATACTGTATATACCCTGAAGAGAGAGTATATATATACAGCAGCATCATGACCTTACGTTATATCATTATATATATGGCGACAATATGTTATATATAGCATATATCCCTTATACTACTACCTACATATAGTATGAGCGCATATATACATCTAAAAATATACGTTATAGTAGCTACATATATTTACCATATTAGTATATATTGTATATACTACAATACTATACGATATAGTACTAGATCACATAAATAAAAAATAAAAAAACTAAGCTATATCCGGGCCGGGCCGGGCCCGGGCCCGGGCACAAACCTTTATACATATAGATGGGTTTAGTAACATGCTTCCTAGACTGCGAGGTATTTGATCTCCTAGGTTAGGGATTATGCACATACATGTTAGGCTGTTGGCTATCGACCATGATGTCAATAATGGTATATAACGCCAAACTAGTTGTATGGTTAGTGCTTCAGAGGATTGGGGTTTAGTGCATAACATTATGTATACAAAGAAAGTAATTTAAAGAACAATGGGGATGAGGGATAAGTAATGAGAGGACTCACGTCTTGTGGTGAGTTGATTGGGTAGAGGACTCCAACTTGAGTGCCTATTTATGAGGTAGGAATACGTATATGTGTGCCCACTTTAAGAAAATTGCATATTCAAATAAGAACGTAATTAAAGATCAATTTAAAGTGATATTTGATTAGGGCAGTTGTGGTTTAAATTTATAATATTACTTCATGATTACTATGATAATGTGATATGATGATGATGTTGCAATACATTGGATGATACCCTTTGTTTTATTTGATAAATTGATGATTATACTCACATCATTATCACTTGTGATTTGTTATATCTTTTTAGTATAAGTGTTGTTAGAATCGTTAGGATTTTAGTAGACTTGTTCAGTAGTGAGATCATATTTTATTGAGAGGGTGTTTTCTCTTATCAATCCACTATGTATTGTATAGTCTACATTCCTCTTTATATTACTATTTTTTTATTTGTATCACTCTACCATTTTATTGAACACTATTATATTTTTGATGATCATTATCTCTTTGAGCTATATTCAATTATATCATTTTGTTTGTGAATTATTATTTACGTACAAGTCCATTCATTTGGATTCCTAATCCTTTGACGGTACATACTGAATCCGCTCTGACGAATTATTTTTGTTTCCCTTTCTAGATAGTTGATGTGAACCAAATTGTGAGTAGGATTGGTTAAGAATAGGAATGGTTATTTATGGGTTTACTATTGGTTTCTTAAATAGTTTTTAGTATTCCCTTTTCTAAAACATTATCTTTTCTGAATTTGACCTATTTTGATAAATAAATAGAAATGAGTAGTAATAATTATAGGCTTAACACATTATTGCGATGTAGTCATTACCAGAGTGCT